CCCCAAAACCCCAAAACCCCGGCCTTTTATAGCATTATACTGCGTAAATTACATTATGATTAGTTAATTAAAATTGAAGAATTATTATATAAAATGGAATTTACTCATAATAAAAATTACTATGTCGCTGGAATGGAGACGCTATTCGGTGAACATGCTATTAGAATCAACGTCACAATAGAAAGAGAATAGATACCTACTACTTCTAAATACATGAAAATGGTTGTGATAGTGCCACGTAAGTATATACATTGATCAACATCAAATTCTCATTCTTATGTTTATTTCCATCTATAATTTAATATAATCTAATTATCCTTAGCAAATCTGAAGATAAGTTAGTTGAAACGTAAAATCGAAAATGAATTTGAGGAGTTATATCCAAGAGAGCTACCATTATAGATCTAAACAATAGAGGATATGTCTGGAAAACCTCTTAGAGATACATACTTAGTAGGTGACTATTTGAAATAAGACGATAGAGTCTTTGTTTATCCAAAGAGCTTATAAGACGATGCGATTGAGCGATTGCCTTATGTTATTGATCCTAAAGATTTAGTTACAACTATCAAGCAAGCGCATTACTCCACAGTGGCAAAGCTAACTGAGACTCAGCTTGAATAGTATAAGAATAAGGTTGGTGTAGTTGAGGGTATAATAGGTCTAGGCTTTAATAATGACAAGGCAGTTATCTAGAATTTGGGAATAGTCTTGAACAAATTGATTGATGATAGAACTGTCTTTCAAATTTATGATGAGGAGAGGCACAGGAATGTGCTTGATATGACTGTATTAGTATTGGATAGTTGGATATAAAAGTATGCACAGTATGATAATCTGATATTGGCAAACATATTAAAGCTTATGGAGGTATTAGTCAAGTCAAGATCTTTTTATGATAAATTCAAGGATAAGCCAAGCCTTGATGTACTTTAAACCATTGCTAGAGATGAAACTTAACCTGCTGCCACAAGAAGTGCTTTATTAAGGATAACATCAGCATTAGCTCCTTCATTATCTTGGAACACTGCCAAGTATTTTTAAACACCAGGCTATGTGAAAAATAAGTCATATCTATTATCAGCTACAGATCCAAATCATCTAGCGAAATCTTTCAACAGAAATTCATCAACTGGTTCTTTACTCTTCAGTCAGCCAATGTATAAGAAAGCTCTAGTTCCCCTTGAGTAGGATCTCTACAAGAGCTAAGGTGACCCTTTTCATAGCACTTCACCATTTATGAATGAAAATAGAGTGTTAACACCATCGAGATATGGAATGAGTTTCTTAGGGTAGAGTCTAGATTAGGCTATATACTCCCAGTCACTTTCAAGTTTGGGCAAAGACTCAGACATGTAGAGAAAGTGGCTGTACGATAGACCTTTGTACAAGTTAAGCTACAAAGATAGATTACCACCAGTTGATCATAAATCCTATGACATGTTGTAAGAGTACCTTGAACTGATACATATTGATACTACACCCAAGGATTATGTTATGTACGCCATCCATAATTTGGAATTAATGTTAGACTATGCAATGGTAAAAGTGATGAATGATAGAACAAAATTCCTATCATTAATATAGATTTTCCAATATACAGATCTACCTTTTATTGCCTAAGAAAGCTAGTTGAAGATTATAGAAGCAATGACACTCTCTATGAACAGTAATAATTATATCGTCATGAATTATAGATGAGAGAGCTTATGATTTTCTGAAGGCAGACGGAATTGAGAGGATAATCTTTGCTTACAAGCATTATCATTAGAAATTCAGGTCATATGTAATTAATTTCGTCAATGCAGTATTTTTCCATGGGTAAAAGTACCTTGAAATTCAGAAACTTATTAACTACACTTAGTGTGAGCACGACTTATTAAAGGAGTCAGCTATGAAGGTAACTTTTATATCTCATATCTAATTAAATGTAGGCTCTTTGCAATATTTCAGAACGTAAAGATCGATATGAAGTGACTAGTAAATTCTAAATACACATTCCATACCTAATTGAATGCACCAATTCTACTAAGGACTCTTAGGAATTCGTAAATTTTGCATTACAAACTCTAGCCAATCTAGCAAGGAAATAAACACTTAGACCTTATATCCTATATAATGAAGGGCTTAATGCTTTTGTTCATAAATTAAGAGATATGAATAATTTGACTGGAAGAAGAATTGCTGGAGAAGCTCTGGCAAATGTCGCTGAAAAAGATGAGTTCTTAAGAGCAAGGGTAACTGATGAGTTAAAAGAGGAGTTAAAACGAAGTTGGAGGAGTGAGATAGATCCAGTGGTGAATTTATTCTAAAAGGGTTTCCTCAAAACTAGTGGGGATAAAGAAGCATTTATCTATTCTTGAATAACCGAGTGAGTATTCAAGAATGATAACCCCTATAAAATTTAATGAGTATATTGGTAATTTTAATTTAATGACTTATCATTAAGTTTTTTTAATTTCATGGGGTTTTGGGGTTTTGGGGTTTTGGGG